TGATCAGGAAAACATATATATTGGCTTATTGAGGAGGCTGAAAAGTTCATCCTCTGTGTCTGATGAAATTTGTTGAGTTAGAGATGTGTGATGCTATAAGGCAAGAATTAATGACCTCTGAGGCTTAAGATAGGGTCCCAGTAAAAATTAGTTGGCCAAATCTAAGGTGATGCAATATTAAATATGGTCTGTGAAACTGCTGTTTAATGTTAGGTTATTGCAAATATTTGTGAAGGTGCATTCTCTAAAGAAGTAAAACACCAAGTTTAATTACTACTGCCTGGTATTTAAGGTTTCAAATTTACTTTTGAAGATACAGCTTTGAAGACTGTGCTTCACAAGACTAGTGCAGTGTTTAACTTCTGTTGCGTTGGAGGGAGCAGCCTTACTTAAAAGATACCAGTAATGCAAGCATTGTTGTTATTACTGAATTACTGCACACACAACAGAGGGTAAATGTTATCTTTTGCTTTTCCCCTGCCTGGAACATTTTTTTCTGAACACTGAGGAAGTCCACGATGCTATAATTCCTTTGATGGTGATTCAGAAAAGGAACATATGGAATTTCTGTGTTCATAAGGTTATGATGTTTTAAACTTTTTTTTTTTTTAATGTGAGAAAAGGTGTATATTATTTATTTTTGACAAAATAATATCTGTGCTTAAAAATAAGCAACTACATACTAAAGATCTGGTGATCTAAGATTTGAGAGTGTGGAAGTGATGTGAGAGTCAGTGTCAATAATACAAAAGAAGAATCCTGTAAGTCTCAAACTGTGACCAAATACGTAGATAAGTGTAGCTCACAAGAAAGAATTCCTCAAAACTGTGGTTTTAAGTATGCACAGAAATACAGGAATCAAATGAAAGATCTGTATTATTTTTCAAAAATCACTTTAAATAACCCTGAACACCACCACAACTGACTGCATGCTTGCTTGTTTAGAAACGTAATGTCAAGAGGCGCATTTCAGTGTATGTTCTCTTTTGATCAAAATTAATTCCCAGGCTTGATGTTTCTGTATGGGCACTTTCTGCTTAAAACATAATAAATAAGGTTGAATGGTTATGTGTACCATATTATATTGAGAGGAGTGGTTTCTTCACTCTGTAAAAGTCATGTGCACCCATGTTCAAATCCCCTCAAGTTAATCTCGACCAAGTTTAAGGGAGCTGTGTTTGTGATAAAAATCATTAACTATTTTGTTTGTGTATCTCTCAAATGCTGTGTAGAAAATCATTTCTTGTGGCCCAAGTTGGGGTTTTGTTACATGAGGCTGATTTCAAATCACGTTGGCATTATTCATAATACAGCAAGAGATTTATTTTTAATCTAACATTGATGAAAGTGTCCTGAATAACAGGGCACTGAATAATCACTGACAATGTAGTTGCTTTATCTTTCCATAGTTAAGTTTGGAACACCACATACAATTTTTAATATTGTAAGAAATATCGTAGGGATTATTGTCTGAAATCAATTTTGCTGGCAAATGGAAAATAGGAACAACAGACGAGACAAGCGTAGTGTGATTGCAACATGATGTCTTCAGCTTTTGATGTGTATAAATACACTGGTGTCAGAGATAATGTCATTAATTACAGAGTAAGTACCAGAGTACCCAAGCGAGAGAATAGCTATCCTTTAGAGCAGGCATATCTAGCTGGTGATGTTTCTCAGGGCTGAGTCAATAAGGGGCTCAAGTGTTCAGTTTGTTGCAGTGCATATTCTGTGAAACAGTCTTTAGTTTCAAGAATATGATGAAGAGGGATATTCCGTATAAAATGTGTTTTATTCTTGGAAGTGAGCAGCTTTCCATCATCTCAGGGATTTTATGCTATCAGAACACTCCAACTTGGTCTCTGGTGTGTAATTTTATAGAACGAAGGCTTTGGAGAGAGGGTAAAAACAAAAAAATGTCACTTGCTGACCAATAGGTGGCAATACTAAGCTATAAGGCATGGATGTCCAACATTTTGGCTTGCCCAGGTTGCATTGAGTAAAGAATTGTCTTGGGCTGCATTTAAAATATATAATATAGTTAATGTATACAAACAACAAAACTTATTTTTTTATACTTTTTTAAATTAAAACATAAAAAGAGAGCAACAAAAGCATAAAACTAGCAGAATATTTGACCTTGTTTTTGAAACTAATGCATCAGTGTCTGGTTTGATGGAAGTGGTTACAATTCTTAGTGAGCTCTCAAGGTATTCATCAGAGATGTTTGATGAAATTTTACTCTTCCTGTAGTTCATCCTTGAAAATAGTTATTCACAAATGTTGCCAAAAGCAATGACATGAGTAAGGAGTGACTGTGAAGAGAGAGAGACATGTTTCTCTGATAAGAGAGGTCTTATAAAAATCTGGTAAAGTGACATGATACTTTTTTTTCTTTGAGTTCAATGTCTGATTGCAGCTCTGTATATTCCATCTGAAAATATACAGGTAACTTATTTATGTTGAATAAAATGGAGTTGCAAATATACAAAAAACGTGATGATTTTTTACCTGCCAAGTAGCATAAGGGCATATAATGTGTGGCACACGCAGGTTTTGATTCAACTGATGTGTGTGGCAGTGTGAGAAGTGGGGTTAGCACTGCACTCTGCCCTCCACTCCGCAGTGTTCTTTTGTCATCTGCACACTTCATGTTTGTGCTACGTGCAGCTGACTCATGAGAAATATCACAAAAAATCACATAATAATGTTTAAAGCTTTTAGGGCTATGTTACTGGCTGTCCAGGGCCATGGGTTGGACGTCTGATTTAATGGTAGACTTGGCAGTTCTAGGTTTTTGACTGAGCTTGATGACCTTAGTACCAACCCAAATGGTATCACTGAGAGTGAGGCTATCACATCACCAGGAGATAGATTGTGATTGCATGGCCCTCACTGCTTTTATTGGGTCACTGACAGAGCCTGGCTCACTCTGACTTGTTTCTGCATCCTGCTGAGTGACTCTGTGAGGCTTGGAGGCCCATAGATAATGTCTTCTTCTTACCCAAAATGGAGCTGGTGCTGCCATGTGCACACTGCTGCTCCCTGGAGGTATTTAAAAGACACACACGTGGGTTGCTTCGAGGCATGATTTAATAGTAACCTGGCAGTGCTTGGTTAGCGGTCGGACTTGATAACCTTAGAGGTGTTTTCCAAAGGATATAATTCTGTATAGCAATGTAGCACACAGATCTGTCTTTTAATGTAATGCCTCCTATTTATTTCCATGGAAACTACAGCATATACAAAGAGCATAACAACACTATTTGGTAGAGCAAATTCTCAGGTACGAAGCACTATTTTTCAACATAGTCAGCACCATGCCAGCAGTGAACAAACTTGTGTGCGTGCTCTTTAAAATCTGTGCCAACTGAGGTGACTTGCTGTCACTGTTGCCACTGCTGAAATGCACCACCCACATTCAACAAGTGTTAATAAATTAATGAATATAGTGGGTATCATTATTTCATAGTGGAGGAATTCAGTGACCTTTGCTTCATAAGCACTTTCATATTAGATGCCATTCTATCAGACTGCTCCTCTGCTGCCATCCATCACATGGCAACAAAATGGAATGGAATATTGGTGGGAAGATTCAGTCCCAACTGCCATACCACCATACCACCAACATCCAGCTCTGATATTGTGGACAAATATCATAAAAAAAATGGGGGGCGTTACTTTTGGAGCAACCCTCTGAAAGGTCACAGGATGTGGCCACAGGGTCAGGCCAGGCTGTAGGTTGGACATGGCTTCTGTAACACCTTGTCTGGCTATTAATAACTTTCATTATTAATTTGTTCAGGAGAACTTGTCTGCACAAAGATTTGTCTATAATGCTACACCTTTTGACTTCTGGAATTTGCTGTTTTAGCTGAACAATAACAATAAAAAATGAGAAAAAAAGAATAAAATCTTAGGGTTTGTGTTCCATGAGCACCTCTGCTCACAGAACTTTTACTGAGTGAATTAAACACATGGTTCAGGCCTCTGCTGTTGTTTCTTTGAATTATATGTAAATTTTTGTGAAGCTAACTAATTAGGGCAGAACTGTGTTATAAACACAGATTTATTCCTTATCTAACAAAATTCATTAACTGAGTTTTTATAAAACCACCACCCTCCAAAATTAAAAAGAACTTGAAAATATTGTGCATTCCTTCAAATACTAGAACAAAACATTCTGGAGAAAAATATTGAAGCGGAAATAACCCCTCTGTTTTTGTAGATAGTAGCCTGAGAGGCTAAAAGCTTGAATTATTGTTCTTCTAAACCTCTGGGTAATGTTGTTTTCCATACAGCATGGTTAGTATGAAATCTCATTTTTAAAGCAAAATGTCAGGATTACACATTCCTGCCATTCCCCTTTCTTTACTGACATGATTTGGCAGTGTGAAAGGAAATGAAGTAACACTTTAAATGAAGAGAGGTTGAGGATTCTTAATGACTTTATGCCCTCATGCTACTATTTAAAAAACAAAAACAGGTGGCAAAACCCTTGATGTAACCATCTCCTGAATGAGTACTTGAAAAGGCATATGGCAGTGTTTGTTAAAACAGAAATTTCCTGATCATAACATCCATGAAAACAGGTAATACGTTCAGTAAGGCCGTACACAAACATGCATCTTCTGTTTTCTGGGAACATATAAACAGAAACCCAGCCAAGGGATATCCATTTGCATCAATAAAAAAATATACCATATGATTTTCAAATCAGCACAGTATGGCTGAGTTTTAGCTTATCTTTGAAGGGGCATAACAAATGAGCAATTTGTTTATCAGAAATTCTTCAAGACAAATTTACTCTTTAACTATCTATATGGGAACTGTTGAGTCACAGCCTGAACCACTGATTGATCACCTGAGGCAAGGACTGAATCAGCCACGGGAGCACAGGTGAAGGCAATTCAGCCAGAAGTGGTGGAGCCTGGCTGCACCTCTCCTAGACACCATTTAAGGGCTGACTGCCATGGGGGAAGGGTCTCTTTCTGGAGATTCCCTTCTCTTTAGAGTCCTTCCTGTGGATCTTGATCTTTGGGCACAGGTGAGCATTCCTTCCCTGTTTGTTTCTCTTCCCATTTTTGCCATGATAATCTGTCTAGCTGTAACACTATTTTTAATGAAAACTAAAGGCAGCAATAAAAAACGCAAAGCCCAATTTAGTGCAATGTACCTGCAAATGGTTCCATCTGGAATGGACACTAAGTAGAAGTAAAGAGATGCTGGTTTAAGCTGTACAGCCTCTTGAGCACTATGTGCTGAAACCCGCTACTAACATCAGAAAAGTTGCATTTTCTTAAAAGAAGACAGAAATTCCTGAAGAAGTGCCAGACTATAAGGAAATATGCATATTGAGTGCTGTTGTTCACAGAAGATAGGGAATGCCTGAGTGGGAATTGTGTATTTGATGAAATGTTGGATACACTGTCAGTCTTAAGCTTCACAGAAAATCTCTGAGCTGCTTTGCTTGAGAATGCAATTTGGCAATTAGCTACGTTTCTTTCCAACTGAAGCCAGTTTATCCACAATGATTTCTTCTTGCTCCTTGGGGCCTCTGTGACAACAGACTTCAGGACAGATGGTGACAATAATCTGTGGGGACCTGCACTCTTAAAGTTTACCTTGGCTTATGCGCAGGAGGGCAAAGGTATCAGCTGAGAGGAGGGCAGCTGAGTATATCAATAAAGAGAAAAATTTTGGGGGAGTAAAAGACTGGGGAGTAAAGCCATTACTGGCATACAGAGGAGGCAGAGAGCAACCTTAGGAAGATCCAGGGTACGGTTATAGGCAAGTGGGAGGAGGGGAAGAAGAGAAGGGATTGAAAACTTACTGGTGTAGGATATGGGAACAGAGAATAAGATATCTAACAGATGCAAAAGATACAAAAACAGATGTGGAAAGGAGGAAAAAATAGCAGCAAAGGGGATTAGAAGCAAGAAGAGTCTTTTCCAACAGCTGTAGGGTTCTATTGCAAAGTTTGGCTTTGTGCCAGTGACTCGTGTGCTAGTGTTAACAGAAAAGTAGAGATCTGACTTAACAGTATATAAATGTACTCCCTCATGTACTGGCATTAATAATAAAAAAAAAATCATTAAAGTTCATTTCCGGCTTATTAGCCACCCTGAAGGGTTGGCTGTTATTTTGCAGTTTCAATTCAGAACCAGTGATAAGCATTGCATCTCTTTGTTTCTTTTAGATAACCTGTCCCTGGGTGGTTTCCCAATTGACTATCATCTGGCTTTACAATTTTAACCTTTTCTTTCTTTTATTTTAAATACTTTTAATAAAATTAATGTGTCTATTGTTTCAGTAAAAACCTTTTTTTCCCCCTAGAATCTTTTTTTGCTGAAATGATAGAAGCCAAAGCAGTGAAATGGCCAAGTATAAGCATTCAAAATCTTTCTGTGCATTTTCCTTTTGTTCTACAGCTGTTGTTTCTATGGAGTAGTTACTGTTGCTATGTATTTTTTCCTCTGTCTTTGCTAGAACATGACTGGCTGGGTCAACCTGCTCATAGTGGTAGTATGGAATAACATAATTGCTGCTTGATTAGAAGAGGTATTTTAAATACAGTTTTCTGTGTTGGAGAAATCCCTATAATGTTTTCATTTTTCTAGCAGTGGCAAAATCATGAGTAATTAACCAAATGAGGCACAGTCAATTATGATGAAGTGCACTGGGAAGAAAGCAAGGGAAAGGGGTAAATCTGGGCAATATTCAATACTGCAGTGTCCTCAACTTTGCCACTACATGCTGTGAGCTTATGCATGTCAGTCTAAAACGTCTAAAGCAATGAAGCAGTGATCCTTTAACCATTTTAATTGATACTATGCAGTCAGGCAGGTTAAGTAGTAACCTGCCACAGCTGACTAGACTAAAGAACCTCTATCAGGCTATGTTCTCATAGGTGCACTCAAATGGATGCTTTCAGCTATAGGACATGCAGGTGCCCAACACCAAGCTTCTGAGAAATGTTTTGAGCCAAGCAAGTTTTAAGAGCTAAAGAGTTGTTTCTCACAGAACTGAGATGAAAGCAAACTAAGAATATATCATTGGTAGATGCTAGCATGTTGCATCCTCTTCCACTTCTTGTGTTGTATTCTATCACTGATGTTTGATCAAATGGTCTTTTATTATGAGAAATAGCTAATGCAACCTACAAATGAGAAAAAAGAAATATTGTGCTGATTGTTTTCTCACGAGTTTTTTGAGCACTGAATTTCTGAGTCAGCCAGATCCCACAGCATTTGCAGCTCAGAGCATGCTTGAGCAAAAAACTGAATTTTGTCATCTTGAATATCTTGCTGACAGAGAAAGTGCCTTAAGATATTCCAGATGGATCCAAAACAGAATGTGGTATAGAGATGAAGCAGCTCAGAGATGAGAGATGCTGATCTGCACTGTCAAGTGCTGATGTGGATGAGTTCTGACTGCTCTACAGAGACAGGCTCAGCAGAGATGGATTCAGCCCACAGAAAGTTTAAGGAGTCCAAGAACTTCCTATCAGCAGAAAAGATTTCATGCTTGCAACCTTCCTTTTAGTTAAGGCTTCTGTGAATACTGATTTACCTCTGAATTATTAGAGACCTCTTCATAAAGAGAGGATGTAAAATAAAAGAGTAGCAGCTTACAATAGGAAGTGGAGTCAGAATGCATAAGCGTGTCAGGGAGAACAGTGTTTTTAGCCCAGACCATTTTAAATATACAACAGGGCAAAGGCTCACCTGTTTGCACAATCTCAAAATTTTACAATAGAAATGCCAGTATAAAATTAGCTAGAAATAAGAGGGTATCAGCAAAGGAATTGAAACAAAGGCAGTGTCAGCTGTGCTAGTGTGCTGTCCTGTGCCAGATGTATAATGAACACATGGTGGTACAGTGATCACATTGGAAAAACACCATGGTCATCTGAGAATAGTTATTAAACAGTGAATATCTGATATCCACTGTTTGTTTCCTATTTGCTTTAGGCTTAGAAGTTCATTAAAATGGTACAATGTGACCTTTAGATTTGAGAGGTATAATTTGATATATAACTTCTACATTATAACAGTTTTTCTCAAATTAGGCCTAAGCTTAGAAGGAACCATAACAAGTGTGAGTCTGTTATCATGGTGCATGTGGAAAAAAAAAAATGGATTTAAACAGGTGGGTTTAAAAATGCACTCTTTTATGCACTCAGTAAATGCAAAGGTCCTGTAAACAAAGAGGTGACATTTCTTAGAAAATTGGAAAATGTGAAGATGCAACTTAACTTAAAGAGCTTACTTAGAATTCCAGTTGAAAAGAAATGACAATGGTATAGTCAGTGCTTGATAGGAAATGCTTACCAAAATTAACATCACTTGAGGCTCCCAGTACCTGGCTTTTATGGAGCTCATATTAAGACAGCTTAAGGCAAAGACTGTACAATGTTGTAGCCACTTCCTCCCCTCAGAAAAAAAGAAAATATTGTTTTCTCTATTGAGGATCAGACTAAGCCAAATAAATTTACAGGCTGGAAGAGCTGGGGCTGTTCAGCCTGAAGAAGAGAAGGCTCTGGGGAGACCTTATAGTGGTGTTTCAGTATCTAAAGGGGGGGCTATAAGAAAGAAGGGGACAGATTCTATAGCAGGATCTGTTGTGATAGCACAAGGGGAAATGGTTTCAAACAGAAAGAGAGGAGATTTAGGCTGGGTATGAGGAAGAAGTTTTTTTATAATGGTGAGACGCTGGAACAGGTTGTCCAGAGAGGTGGTAGAAGCCCCATCCTTGAAGACATTCAGTATCAGGCTGGATGGGGCTCTGGGAAACTTGATCTAGCTGTAGGTGTTCCTGTTCGCTGAAGCAGAGTTTGACTAGGTGATTTTTAAATGTCTTTTCCAATTCAAATATTCTATGCAGTTTTTTCGCAAAATCATTAGCAACTGAGGCAAGGTGAAGCTTTATTTGGACAAGAGTTCTGCTGCAAAGGTAGTGCTATTACTAAGTGTAACAGCATGATGGGAAGTAATACAATAAAGTCAGCTATTGAATGGATTTGAGACTGCATCCACTAATTTGAGCTGAGCTGCATTTATTCCTGACAGCTAGAAATAAAATAAACAGAAAATTAAGATTTCTGTTAAGTGATTCTGTAATTTTATGGATGTTCTCTTTATTATAACTTAACTCATTACAATATCAGATATTGCAAATAAATATTTGATGTTGCAAAGAGATGTGTATACAGTAAATCTGCTACCAAAATTATTTAGCCTGTGTAGCATAAAATTTTCCTTTATTTATATTTTAAAGACTTACTAGAAGGGATCTGTGTCTGAAGAATGAGAAGCACAATGCTGATCCCCTGATGTACCCTAAACCCTTTCCCTGTGGAGTACAGTTGGTAGTTTTGAGAAGTATGTTGCATATACAACACACTTCGCTCCCTTTACACCAGGAAGTGAAATGTATGGGAAAAGATTACATGCTGAGGTAGTGTGTTACAGTTATGCACTTTGAGATTAAACTATTAATTAATGGTATTCTCTCCTAATTCTCTTCAATTCTTTTGTAGTGTTTGAGAAATACAGCAGGTGGTTCCCTGGACATGTCTAGTTTTTGGGAAGCTGTTTTGTGAGAAAGTTTTGTGCAAAGAGATATAAATGCTTTCTTGCAATGCATATAAGTTTATGACAGCATTTTTTTTTTTTTTTTTTTTTTTACACTTGGCATTCTTTAGGACAGTTAACATTTTCTTTCCATAAGATGTGGTATAGTATTCTACAACAAGCACTAGAGATAATCCTAAAACTTCAACTTAGAATATGAATGGAAAACATCTGTTTCCCAACTATCCATCTTATAGTACTGCTTTGCAGTTAAGGGAGATCTCATCTCCTGGCACTGCTTCCCTCCACTATCCTTCTGGAAGACAGATAAAAATGGTTTAGCTGTCAAGCTGTGTCATGATAGTTGCACTGGTATCCAGAGGGGTTGCAGCTTTATAGAATTAATATTCCATCCAGAGGCCTTCCTTACAGAATCAGTGGAAGACTTCTTGTATTTTATTTCACCAGTGAT